TTCGAAATGTTTATATGTGCATAGAAATTAGTTTGCTTTCTTTATTCAGTGGCATTTTATCGACAATATTCAGAAATGTGACTTGGTTATAATAATAATAACATTACCAGAAGTAATTCTCCTGAAGTATTACTAATAAGCATGATTACGAAACACCATTTCACTATGGTTTATTTCTGTGTATCGAATATTGTGTAAAGTGGAAAGGATTTTTTCACTAAACACATCTTGAAATATTACAAGTTTGAAAAAAATATAGTTTACAAAAGTATTTTAGAAAAATACATTACCAACAATTGATATGGTTTACTTCTGTGATTCTGTCAATAGGCTTATACGATCCAAACTGACATCACTAAGAGAAGCAATGAAAATTGGAGAAAGATGGAGGGAGGATACTTCACAACACTAGTTGATCCTAATTCTAGAACTACTGATAAACCAGGGGGAACTGGATAGCCGTTTTATTATAATATAAGACATCCCACTAAAGACTGAACCCAGGACTCTCAGATCTCGCAGTGAGCATCCAACTTTCCTGCTATTAACCCGATATCCAAGATTCTACATATCTAATTTCAGTCTTTTCCTAGATGTGAGCGACACTTCAAATTATGAAACGGTAAACATCATCTGATGTCTGGCTGCAAGGTTAAACGTTCCTGAGTATATTCTTACTTAGTGTCATAGTTATACATTGTTTCGATTTTATAGCAATGGATGAAACCACTGCTCTTGGTTCTCAATAGTTTTTCAAATTATATATATAACTGACATGGAGTCATTAAATAAACATGTGAACTCAGATTTCTATCTATGAGTTGGATTTTATAAACTGTATGAGTTTTGTTTTGAGAAAATTGAGTGGAGGCAAAAAGAAATATCTACCATCTGATTTTCACTTTATACTTTTTTTAAAAATTGTGCTGTTTTTCAAAATCATATTCATAAGGTCTTTTCAAAGGTTGAATTTGTTACTCATGTATTTATGTACGACAGTTAGTGATTGAACTCGCCAACATCCTCATCCAAATATATATGAACATACATTTGGTAGAATTATTCTGCCTGTTTCCTCATAATTTTTTTCCACTCATTTAAAAACAACCAATATATGAAACTGATGTGTTTTCTCATAGACAACTTTGTTATATTTTGTTTATACATTCTTTATAAACTGCTTTTAATAGTTGGTATTTGTGATAGTTTTGGACTTGTTATGTTTTAATCGAAAATTTGCAATAACCCAATAGTTGCTTTGTCCTAGTGGAGGATATCTCAGGAGTGGGTATCCACTATCACGTCAGGGATTCCTGTGTATAATATGCACACATTGTTAAAACTTATGCGATTTATTATATGGCCGCTATATTTATTCACTAGTGTTTGAGATACGTAAAAAGGTTGACTTTAATTCTTTTAATGTCACCAAGTATTTCTCTATCACTCTAGTAACGTTTAACGTGTTTTGTTTTGAAGTAAATAAGTTATAAACCTGGATAAGAAGTCAAGTTTACGGGTTTTCTCTAACTCACTATAAAGTTTTATGACATTAGTTTAAATTCACAGTGTGATAGTTTGACATTCGTTTTATTTTCAGTGTAACATTTTAATCAGTAAGGTATGGAGTTTGTAGTCTCTAGTGTAACATTATTTCAGGTCTATGTGTTTCGTATCGATCAAGTGAGAATTTTGTTTAGTATGTCCGGTGTAAACGTTTACCTAGTGTGACAATTACACTCTTTGTATTATTCTGTGTGAATTTCCTGTTTTTGATGGAGTTTTGTTCTCTGAGCATCTGATCGGCAAACTTCAGAAGTTTGTGCTGATGATGTCGTTCATAAAAACGATGAAAGCTCCACGACCAAACCATCGAGCTCAGAGAACAAAACCCCATAAAAATCATCCACCTGAGCTACAGATCTCCACTATCTCGAATTTCCTATTTATTTTACAGTAACACTGTGTATCTTTTCATTTATATAACATTAATTAACTAGCCATCAAGTGTGTGTTTGGTTTAACAACATCGTGTTTTCGAAAAGTCAATAAATCTTCGTTGCACCAATCTTTGAGTTTTCGCCTCGCATCGTGGGAATTACAGTAGTTCACGTTTCCAAGTTTAGAACCATGGATATCAAAATAAACAATAAAACTTTTTCTTTATTATTCATCTGAATTTAAGAATCAGACAGTCTTACTTCTATAAAACTGAAATAAACTACACTACAATAAATTCTTTCAAATACCTTTATCAATCCTCATAATTCGTTTTTATATCCATTGATTATTAAGTGGTTGATAACTTAATAATCTTTGGAAGTATTTGAGCCTATACAATTAGAAAAATATGAATAGAAACAACAACCTTACAGTTTACATTACGGACTAATCTTTGTCAGACAACCATTGAGAATTATGAAACACTAGATAACTTATCGAAATATGGAGCGACTGAAAAATCGAAAGGTTCTTGGTCCTATCATTGTTAGGGTTATTATTATTATTAGCTTTATTCAATATTATATTTTTAGTACAATATAGAATTCTCAGCGTAAAGTATTTCAACAAGTTTCCGTTTCTTTCTTCTTGGTCGGTCCTGGCGATAAATATTGAGTGATCGCCAGTTAGATGTTAGCAGTTCAGTAAATGAACATCTAAATAATGTGCATTCTTTTCGCTGTATATTGCCAGCAACCACACTGTCTCTTATGGAGTTTTTTGTAACTTTGATAACGAAAGGTTGTACACTTTTCAGAAACGCAGCAGAATAGGTCATGTGAGTAATAAACATAATGATATATTAAAACAAACAAAAATAGATAACTTGTTGAAATATCTAGATGGCAGGAACAGGTAGCCCAGATGCTCAAGTAGGCCGCCCTTTGTGTATGGGTTGGGTATTCCCAGGCTAGGATGAAACAGCTATCCACTGTCACTTATTTGTCAATGGTTGTCCTATCAAGGTCAGTACTTGATATAAATTATGAGTTGATAAAACCTACTCAAACCCCAACACTAAGAAATAACATAATAAAAGTGAATGTAGTTCATTCTCTGTTGATACTTTACACTGACATAATTTTTAATATTAGGGATTCTGTTACTACTGACAAGTAACAAATTCGCCGTAATTAATATGTTTGTTGTTCGAGTACCAATTATAATAATTAACTTAATAATCTCCATGAATCTATTTAATGAATAATTTTAAGGGTGATTTTCATGACAGATTATTATCAGTTGAAGAAATAATGAAAACTAAGAATTTTTGAATAGGATGTTTTGTTTATATTTCAGTTTATTTAGCTGTGAAGACTCATACATGAAATAGATTCACATTCATCATTTATCTTTCATGGAATACGTTATTGAAATTGTTTATTAATTATTATATTATACAAATCATTCTAGAATAGATTGATATATAGCATTTTCAGTTCATTTCTTGTAATTGAATATTGAATAGAACGTATAGAAAAGAACAGTTAATCTATTCCTTTTGTTCACCTTTCTATAAGCGACTTTTATGTTCAAAGTAGTATCATGTAACTTTTGTATACTTCTGTTATTATTTTAACTAGAAATAATTCTTAACTTGTCACAGTGTTATAACTTGTGACCTGTGTGCCCTGTTAATGTATAACATGATAATACCGCCGATTAGAGAACAGTAAATTATCGATTAGGTCAATGACGCACAAAACCTGTGCGAGCAATCTAGAGTACTTATCAGTTCTGCTTTCTGCCTAGCCCAGCCAGTTAAGTCCAGAACACCAATCTCAGTCTCTGTGATATGAATCATGTATTTCAAACATACTGGGTTTATATACCAACAAGACAGACCACGTCGTACCATAAAATAGGAAACAACATTCGTACAAGATTTAGCCAAATGTGGCTGTGAATAAGGGAGATAGTAATTGATGGACAGGGTATAACTCAAGAATAGTTAATCGTATAATAATAGTTCATAGGTCAAAGTAAAGTTCATAATAAGAGGGATATGAATATGAATAGTTTAGTTATTTAACAACTCGATTAATTAGTCACTTTAATGACCAATTTTAGAAAATTTTCTTATAGTTTCTATAACAACATAATTTTTGTCTATTAAAGATCCTCACGATCCCCTTGAGATGGATACTATTGGAATTTATACTACTGTTGTAGTCCTATTGTTTAGTCTGTACAAAAACTATGAGTACTAAATTCACTAGAGTTTAAATTGTAAATATTTGGTTTACCACATTAGACAAACCCAAATCAAATGAACAGTAGCATGTAAGCCTAATGAAGTTACGATAATATATAATAGGGCAAGAATTAAGCTTAACAGTTAGGCACTTATCCTTTGAAGAATAAGTGACCTACAAATCGATTTTGTCTAATCGTCTATAATAACTAATCATTTTATTTACTTGTAAACATTTTATGCACAAGTTTACTAGATACAAATATTTAATTGTTATAGCTATGGGTCTTGTTTTCTAATATCAGTTTAGTTGATGGCTTGTATCAATAACTTGGTCTTATGAGTAGCTATCACAAGGCCACATAGTATCATCCCATTTCATCTACTTTCAACGTAACGTTTTTCAGCTTAACGAAAAAGCGTTTTGTTGAGACATGTGACATCTGATGTCGAGACTGATACGGAATCTTCCTATGCACTAGCCTAACTGATTAGTCGAGTGAAGCAACCAACATTAAGAAAGGAATTTTATTGAATAACCGAATAGTCATGTGTGTATACATAGTAATTTGGGCCATCATTAATGAATGTCTCACTCCTAGGAAATGTAAGCCAATTCTTGTTCAGTCGCGTACATCTATCATTTAGCCGATTCCTGGTTAACCCAGTGTTTCAAACTCAGTCATGAAATCTTACTCCATATGTATACTGATGAGCATCAGAATTTATCGGTTGGACGTTTTTCTCATTATATACGTTTTTCATTACTCCTTAGTTTTTCTTTTACTCCGTTACCTTTCTGTAGTATGGAGGAAGTTTAATTCGACCACAGTCACCTCAAAGATTCGATATGATTCATGTGGATTTATCAGAAGAAAATGAAACAACATTAAGTGATTTTGTCAAGGAATTACAAAGTAAGATCAACTCAATTGCAGTGAAGGTGTTTTGAAGGTTGAAACAACAATGAGATGATAACACTGATAATGACAACGATAACACCAATGTTAACCAAATGGGAAGAATATTGTAGAAAAAACTTTGTTTATTGAATTTATTATTATTATCATCATCATTATCATTTTTCCATAAAAAATTATTATATTCAATGAAATATATTTTATAACAATGAATGATACCTGTTACATAATCAAGTTTAATAAAGGCAATTCAGTGAAGAAAACTGACTATTCGATGATTATATTTGTTAAAGTTACATAGTGGTATTTATAGTTAATTAGCATTTAGCAGAAAATTGTTAAATCATAAAAGAATTGAGAAATATTAATTTCAAATATTCTCATTTGATGTTAGGTTGTTGGTGGTAGTCAACAGGAAACTCTATACCTAGCTTTTGTCTTGTTTGTTAGCATGGATCACCTCCGATCTTGAGGGGACTGATGCTCCTTGTATGATTTGAATTTATTTCACAAAGTTTTACAGACCAATATATTGCTGCTAAGCTATTCGAGTCGCGACTGACATCCTGAGATATTAACATTGATTGATTTTAAGTAGTGACCAATGTCATATTTGTCTAGTTTTTTAAGTGCAATTTAGTTACTCATCTTAGTGACTTGAAATCACAAGTATGATGTCGAGATATTAGTTGCTTACAAACAGTCACCAGGAGACCACTTAGGAGGTCAATTGCGGTCTGAAGACATCAGTAGTAATAATTCAGTCAGTTGATCTGGAGGACGCAGGTTTTAATCCATCAGAACACATAATTTCCCTCAAGATAGAAGGTACCACTTGCCGACATGCGTCAACTAGCACGAAACTCAGGTCGAACAGGGTTTCCTATAAACTATCCTCAGCCACCTAAAATTTAAAGTCGTCTTTTAGACTAGTGGCTACATTTCAACCTGATCGACGGAACTCCATCAACATTTAAGGGGCTGGAAGTACATGACATCAGTCACCACTCACTCACCACTTAATTATATGTCTCCATGTATCGTGTATAAGTTGCCCGATAAGTGAAGGGTAATAGGGGGGACGAAGCGAAACTAACAATTTGCAGGGTATACTTAAGATAACTGCTCATTTGATAAGCGTAAAGAAGTGATGAATATACATGTCAGATAATCTTACAGAATTATTGAAATCTAACGACTGGGCGCTGCGACCACGGAAGAACGAAGTACTGTACACATAACATCTAAACACAAACATCAAGGTTAGATTGATGAATTGTTAGAATCTCAGCTATTCACTAATTCTTTACAGATTTTCCTAACCCGTTTGATTTTATCGATAATTTTTGAAGTTTGTACAGAGACAGATGACCGCAGTTGACCAAACTTTCAACAACACAACGACTGAGTTATTTGAATTCGTCTTTAGATAACTATGCTAAATAGGATTCAGATATCTATTTAGAAAAGGCAAGCTATGTTTGGCCAACATAACGTACTCCGTAGAAGGAAACATTCTGATAGATACACATTGAGGTGGTTCTCACACCAGGTTCTCGTTAACATGTCCTTGGATCAACTATCTATTGGAGAATATCATTCATAGATCAACTCAAAATAAGGTTATTCTTAAGATTTCTAGTCATATCCGATTTGAAAAATATTCCGGTATTCCTTAATGCAAAGTGATTCTTTCATTTATATCTTTTCGTAATGAAACTCCGTTTTACGTCCCCCATATGAAACTGAAAAACGATATTTAAATAAGTTAACTTCATAATACATTTAGTACTTGATTACTGTTATATTGAGATAACTGTTTACCATGAGATATTGATTCTTCTTCATTAGTTCAGGTTGGATGATTGAAGAAAATCAACCTAACCTAGGTTTCACATTAGCCACAACTTATTTACAATGTACATTTGAAATTCTAAGTTAACATACACTTTATCATGGACTTGGACCCATTTCCCCCAAATGTCATAGAATGAACTGTTATCACTTAGCTATCTAAGACATCTTAACATTGTGTAGAACTTGAATGTCTACACTAATTAATATTTATTTCTTATTAACAATTTAATTAACTGAAATCTGAACAGACTAATATATGTAGGTGAATACAGTCTATTTAACAACATCTCAACCAAGAAAGTCACTTATAAAACATGTACGTATCTATTTTGCCTTCTTTATTGATTGTTATCTTCATTATTAAAAAGATGAGCTGATTTCTATCAAATGTAAAGAAAAAAAACATGTTCAAATTGCCTGTGATGAATTTAACCGTTTTTTAACATTTAATCAAATTGAACATTTACATAAGGCTTGCAAAACAAAACTGTTCCCTCTTTGTTCTTATAGAATTAATTAACGCTATCAAGAAATTCTCTGATCTTTCTGATTTTTTAGAAAAAAATTTTGTTTCCATGATTGAATTAATGTAACTTTCTATTGTAAATGTCATGACATTTCATTCCTTTCAAGTAATGAATTCATTTGTGCCATATAAGGTTGCTAGTTGATGTCATACACTCCCATTCAATAATGCTGTTGTTCCGTAGAGAATTAGATACAGACAAGAGAAAGTGTTTATTAATAAAAGGAGCAGAAGGTAAAAGTATATATTACAATATAAACAAATGGTAAACTGGATATGCTGTCTATATTCTTTGACCAATCATAGACCATATGGGCTGAATGAATGAAATATTCATTTTTGTGATCAATAAAACGAAATGCAGGTAGCACTAAGTCATGGTTCGAGAACGACCTGCCTCTTCAATGCAAAGTAGTCTTTTGTAATTCAAATAAATGGATTAAAGTATATTAATTTATAGACTGTGGTTTAAGTGGTAATCTTTATTGGCTCTCAATATGTGTTTACAATAAAATAACTTATAGAACAAGAAGAACGAGTTAATCTAAACTATTCAAAATTCTAATGAAATAAAATATGACAGACTATACTACTAGGATTCATACTCCAACGTCTGACTTCATCGACTTGAAGTTATCTACTTTTAAAATGTATTATGAATTTGATAGTTTCTTGAAAATTATCACGTTATAAATGCCGATTATATATGTTGTGTTCGTTGTTTTGGTTGTACCAAACAATCTGAATCCTTCAGTATCGAATCAAACAACGTAACCAATATTATAGTTTGCAGAATTGAACATTAAATGTTTAAAATGTCTTTCATTGTATACTTAGAAGTGAGTGAATTTTTCTAAAAGTTGTAATGAATCTTTACCGTAAAGAGATATCAGATAAGAATGTCATGCAATATCACGAACCGATTAAAGTAGTACATGAAAATCATTGAATGCCAGTTTAACTATTTAAAGGTCAAGCACTCACCTTGAGTTTGGGACGTCTTAGATTAAACTATGAGTGGGGTTAAGATGAGCACCACTAAAGAGTTCGATAATAAGAAGAAATAGGTGTCCAGTGTTTGTTGATAATCTAATTAAGATCGGTCTATTATGTAAATAGTGAGTACTGAACGATTGACATACTATACTTTGGCACTCTTCTGTACTGGACACTCATCAAACCATAGAGGGTGGGATAAAATAACTTAGAACGAATGCATAAAATGGATATTCTGTTATTTTGGATGTTAACCAGTGAAAACTAGAAAACAATGGATAGCTGTTTTCATTTGTCCAGTGAAATTTGACTTGTGATGCAAACTATAAAATAATACTTAAGTTTCTCGTGGGATTTGTCAAAGGTCATAGGTTACATCATTGCCTATTGAAAATATGTATACTGTTATGGAATATAAAATTTTATGTTAATTTAATTTGTAAGAGTTTTTGAGTTATCCTATTGATAGTAATTTGGTTGAAATTTGATCGGTCTCAAATGGCATATATGTATTTTGTGCAAATCGCCTCGACATAGTCATTTTTTGGCTTTTTTTTAAAAGAAAATACACAGTGAAGAGATAGCGCGTTTTCGGGTTTGAAGTGGAAAGTACCAGGTTCGAATCCTGGAGTGAATAACTATTTGATACAAATACAAATAGCTGACATGTCCCAAGTAGGACGAAAAACGTGTTCTGAATTTTAATGCCAGCTACAGTCCAGAATTTCATGTTAGATTGTCACCTGATTCATAGTGCAAAACTATAAATGTTTTTGGTTGTAGAAGAATAAATGAAGACGGGAAAGTCTGGAATATATTGTCCAATGAATCAGTATACATGCATTTTGATGTGTAGTTACTAAGTATTTGATTTATTACATCATATTCAACGCATTAGGTGTAGCCGTAATTTCGAATGTTTAAAAGTTACTATTAATTAATTGTGATGGATCGTAAGTTCCCATTGGGTGAGTTTTAAGTCTAATAATCTAACAGGATAAAGCGAAGTTATTATCTGCCATCCATAACATGCCGATTGGTAGTTTTCGGTAGCTATTGAGAGCACTGTGCAGTCCATCAATAATTTTTCATATTCAATAATCATGTTATACAACTCGTTAGTGGGTGTATCAATATTACTGTGTTTAAACAAAATTAGACGTTGGCTAGCAATATGACAATAAAAGAGACTGCTCTGTACAAAAGATTATGTCTATTGAGGTTTCCTATTGGTCTGCTATACTTAAATACTAAGAAACGATTGAGTTATACTAAATACGGATGGATTTGTTGCGAACTCGATGACGCCATCTGGCGTATGACACTTCAACAATTTGCCACTAACATACGAAGGAGATGAAGTATAGGAAAAACCAACATATTAAAGTAGAAGCGAGCAGAATAAGTGGAAATGGTGCAATTTTGTATATATGATATAGCAAAAGTATAACCTTGAGTCATACAGAAAATTAGAAAACCATAAGTAGTAGCAACCAATCGGAAAAGGATAAAGACTTGGGGGGGAAATTAATTCGAAAAAAGAATTCAAAAGTTACCGTCACTAGTAAAACTTTAGCGTTATTAACATAAACTGAGTAAACCCATAATTATTGTCCTA